AAAAATTCAATTAACCATTTAGCAACTTTTATTTTATTTTATTTTATAGAGAAGATTAAAATCAAACAAATTGAATGATATTAATAAAACATAACAACTTGTAATAATAATTATTTAATTAGTTGATCAAAGAAGAATACTTATTAATTATTATATCATAAAAATCATACTAATTTAAAGCATGTAAAAGTTTCCAGTAGAATTCAGATGTTTTTTCTTTTGAAAATAAAATTTCTTCTTGAAGAAATTGAGGTAACGATTTCAACAATATAGAATCTCTTGTAGGATCAATACAAGGAGAATACACATAAATACCTGGATAATCAGGCGTGGTTGAAAGTTTAAAGACTAAATCTATTTTTAAAAAAGAATGCAAAATTGTTTAAAATATACACACATACATATACGTGTATACCATTTAAGTAATTAATAATTAAGTGTTGATACTTACCACCTTTTTTACTATTTTGAAAACATGAAAGTGTAAATTCGCCAGCAGATCTTATTTTTACATTTTGGATCAATAAATTGGTAAGATCCTCATATAAAGTATTTTTAAATGATTGTTCAGCATACTTTGAATTAAGTTCATTTGTAGAAGTTGCTTTAGCCAGTCTAGCACTAAGTTGTTTACTATTTTGTAACTCCAAATTAAGCTCAAGTTCGAGCATTTTTACTAATTTAATAAAATAACAAATAACAAATAATAATAATAATAATAATAATAATAATAAAGAGATTTTAGCAATGAAATAGATGTGTTTATATTTATTTGTAAAATGGTTGATCCTAACCTCTTTCACGTAACTTCACCAATTCATCATCCTCCTGAGATGCTTTAGCTTCCTTTACTTTGCCTTTATATGTTGATTTCTTTTGTTTGGAATTGTTTTCTTTTTTTTTTTGTGTTAATAAAAACAACAACAACAATTATTATTATTCTAGTTTTATAATTTTATTAAAAGAATATTGAAAATATTATTTAATATATATACCATTTATTGTCTTTTCTTTAAGTTGTCGTGTACTTTCTACTTTTTTACGTGGCTTGACTTCTAATTGAACTAGGGTATATTCTTGTGCTTCTCTTTTAGTCTGAGATCTCTGTGAGTAGTTTATACATTTAA